AGCATAGCATCTTTGATGACAAACACAACACATTTTTGCGATACTGAATCTGATGTAAAACATCTGAAGACAAACCTTAATTACATGAAAAGCGATATACATTATCCATGAAGCACATCATGTCAACTTTTATTAACTTTTAACCTGCTGGAATTACACTAATGAGCTTTCGACATGTATGTCTAATGCATGTATGTCTATCTGCTTTTTATGGAAGAGTTATGCTTATCTGTGTCATAAACAATGGCATACATAAAAGTCACTGTGTGAAATAACAAGATAAAAGTAATGATGTTATGTTTATGATGATATGACTCCAAAAGCAACCTAAAGCAGCTAATCATGGAAAAAGAAACAGGCATTTGCTCATATACATTTCTAAAGAACTGCTGAACGCTTAACCTGTCAACACTATGAACACTTTATTGTGAAACCATTGTGGATTGTTCAGCCACAATAAACACACTCACACATTCATGTACATACACATGCAAATAGCTCCACCTGCTGGTCAAGTAAAAAAAAAAAAAATCCAAATATATATATATATATATATACATATATATACTGTATATATATATATTTTTTTTTTAAAACAATGAAATACATACATAAACTTAATACTGTTTTAAAAAATACTCTTAAAAAGTACTCTTTAAAAATTACTTGTAAGCCAGATTACATATGACCCAAATTTAATACTGACCAATAAACATACACTAACAGCTCCATCTTGTCGGTGAATCAAGAAGCAATAGTTACAAGTTATAGATTTTATAGCTAGATATAGTTATACATTTTAATAAAACCTTACATTTTAAAACAAAAAAATACAATCAACTAAACCAATAACAAAATACTGAATAGATTACATTAAGAATAATATAAGAATATTATTCTTAATGTAAAATAAGAATATGTTATAAAATTGCTTGGTTCGATCAGTGTTTTGGAGTATACTAGCTCATATATGGCCTTAAAGGCTTATAGATAGACTCATGAGTCTTTAAAAAAAGAGGACAGGCCTGAAGCAAGAACAATAAATATGTACAGCACCATTCAAAAAGAGGCCCCCTCCTGTTTTCCACACAACCCAGTGCTCCTAAATGACATTCAGCACAATTCGCCTTAATCATCTGTGTATCCCTCATCATGTCTGTGCATGTCTTCCGGGCAAAAATTATGCATATTAATTTCTGGACTACTGAACACAAGCATGACAGGAGAGACTAAATCATTCCTTCATTACATCATCATCGTCAATAAATAACTGTTTATTTATTCATTAATTAAAATGTTTAAGTATGGATGTAAATATATGAAATGGACTGTAGCAATTAACAATTCTGAAACAAGTAGAATTGACATTTGGGATCAGAGTGCACTTAAAAGCATCCAGTTTCAAGATAGGATTCATCTGCAAATATTGTATGCTAAATTGCTATTAATTTGATAATCAAATTGAAGTTTAAGCAGAAATAGAGAAAGATGGTGCAGTTAGAACATTTACCAGCAGGGGGTAATGGGGCCACACTAACCAGCCAAACCTTGACTACTTGGTAATAAATGTATTGTTTATTACTATTATTTTGCATACATACTGGACCCTACTGGCTGTGCCTTAATTTTCAAGCTGTGTTTAATATTAGTAATATTTGTACCTCTTTTTTACATTGCAAAACTGTTACTAACATATACTGAAAGTCTAAAATCAAAAGATAAATGGTTACTGTAATTTTGTCCTAGGTGCTGCATAGCCATACACATGTATGTATACTGAAGTACAAGTGAGGTTCTCTCTGACCTTTGACCTGAGGACAGTGCCAAAGAGAGATGTCTTGCGTTTAGTCCCCCTCTCATCATCCTGAGTTTCACTGTCGCCAGCTCCCAACGTCCCAGACTCAGTTCTGTGGAAGACGACATTCAGTTAGAGATCTGCTGATTGAGGATTCGGTTTACAGTTCAGATAAATGCACAAAGAGCAAAGAGAGCAAACAAAAAAGTGGCCTCGAGTTTGCTGTGTGGCGCCAATGCTCGAGTCAGCCAGCAAAAATGACAAGAATGTGGAACATTAAATTATCTGTCTTTCCTAAGCTCATCCAAATACAATGTGCAAACAGGTTATTCATTTTCTTAAAAATATACTTTCAGTGGAAACCGGCTGCATACTTTCAGACAAGATGTGGACACACAGTGCTCACTAAAACAAATGCACTTACTAACACAAACACACCCAGTGTGGCCCATTGTACAGCACCACCTAAAATAACTTAAGTAAAGTGGGTGCAAATCACAGTGAATACAGTCATGCAGACAGGAATACAGGCATCAATGCATCATGGCTCTGATTCACCTTCTTAATGAACACAATGGCCTAATTGTGTGGCATTACAAAGTCTTACAAAAAGAGATGCAATTCATATCTCAGCTCTGATTTGCCAGCATTAAGCAGAAAATATTAAGGAGGAACAGGTGCATCCAAAAGTCCCTGTCATGAAGGAAGCAATCACATTTTTTGAAAGTGAATCACATAGTTGTCATTCACATAAATCTATTTTAAACAAAGAGCAACTGTTACTTGAGTAACTTGAATGACTGATGAATTGAAGTAACTTATGCTTTGAGTTATATGATAGAATCCTTCAAAAAATATCATGTAGACAGCTGACACTGATTCTACAACTACAGTTTTTCATTTGCATGCATATACATGCAGTGATGATCTAGGAACCTAGACAGCGCGTGAGAGCAATCAGAAGGGAGTTGTCTGAGGCCTAAAGATTGCAGGGTCTTTTGCTAAATATCCTGCTTCACATTCCAAACCGACTCTTAAATACCTTCAGGCACATGACTCTAAAAATGTGTTGGTTCGAAGATGCATAAACATGCACATTTAAAATTGAACCCGAGCATAAACACTGTAGTGATATTTGTTTAACCTGTAACTGTAAAAATATTTCTACTCTTTAAAGGTCTCACCTTTACGGGTATCACTGTCATGCCAACAGCATCAGGTGAAAGCAAGCTGAAACTTTCACTCTTCACTATCTTGGTTTTTTTATCAAGTTTTTCCCCGGAGGGGAGAACAGCCAAAAGTACGAGTTTCGCTCTGTGTGATGGAAGACCTTAAGCATGCAGTGTAGCCAGTTCCTTTAGGTATAACCATATAATTTGCTGGTATCACAGAAAACGAACTCAAAATAAAAAAAGGCTTTGTTATCATGCAGAGTTATATTCATTTTCTTTAAGTAGTGAGGCAAGAAATAGATTTCAAGACCTTAAATTTATTTCAGAGCACAGGGGCCGGTGTTGTGTCGAATTCTGCACTCCTGCCAGATTATGCACCCCTTCGTTGAAGTCGCTACCTGATTGCCTAATCCCTCCCCCACACCTAATCCTAAACCTACAAATACTAGGGGGTGCATAATCTGGCAGGGTGCAAATTTCAGCACTACACCTGTTGCACCAGCTTTACATAAGTTACAATTTAGCCTAGTTGTGACGTAAATGGGCACTAAGTTACAACTTACGCACTACTAAATATTTTTTCGTTGCACCATTACACTTAGTAGAAGTGTAACTCTATAAACTAAATATTTACGGAAGCGTCTGGTCAGGAGTAACGGTTGGAATAAAATAACAGACTGAGTGAACTGAATCAATATGCTCTTCTTTTACCCGACAGCCTACAATCCTTTAGGCATATATGATGCTGCTGACATTTACACTCACGTACATATTAAGAGAGAGAACAATATGTGAATAAACATACTTTTTTTGTTTTGTTTTTTGTGTCTTCAACACCCCATCTACAGTGCGCCTCTGTGCGCTTTGGTCTGTGTTGCGCATGTCAGGTGAAATAATAAATAAATGGCATTTCTTATGTTTATTTCTTTCAGTATTTATTGATCCTTATTTATTTCAATTACAGTTTCTGAATGTTATTTACATATAAAACAGCTTACATATAGACTCATGTTATTAATGAATCGTTTTTAATGGAAACTTGTTTTTACTGTTAGTATAAGTAAAAGTATAGGTAAAAGAAGTTAGAATGAAGGATAAATTAAAATTCATAGCATTTAAACAAGTTTTACTCACGAATT